GACAAGGCGACATCGAAATTAATGCCAAAGCTTGACATTTATTTACAATCATGTTGTTTATTTGAGATGACAGTTTTGTGGTCTTGAATGTGTGATGCAGGCGTGATTTTTTTGTTGGATCTACCAATAAGCTAATACCATGATCCTTCATTACCTTATTGTTTTGTAACGTAGCAATTCTGTACCATAACATGGATATGAGTGATTATTATTGTCACCTTTTGCAAATATATTTGGTTGAGTTTGAGAGAGGTTTATGTTAAACTCTGACTAATAGCTTGTCCAAAATCATGTACTCAAGTTGATGAAGACGTCAACTATTATTAACATTACTAAAATTTCAGGTATTTCTATGAATTGTCACTAAATGCAGGACCTATCCGAGATCCTACCTTAACTAGCAAGTGGAGTCCGGCTTAGGTGAATGCCCGATCTCTGTCTTTTCAAATGCTTGTCCAAATAAAAATAGCAAAGAAGCTCATATATCAGCACCGAAGCATTGTTTTATTCCAGTATGTCAAAATGATATGAGGGGGGGGGCACAAAATCGATGTGACAATGAACTTGAAGACTGTGTTTTCGCCTTATAGTCCAATCCGCAGATTGGAAATTTTTTTTTATAACATGAATTATTTCATGTGGGATGAGGATATTTCTGTTCCTGTTGGCAATTAAGTTCTGACACACTTTGTACAAAAAAAGTTCTAGAAATTTCATTTGTGGAGTAACATGTAACATAGAACCTTCCTGAAGCTTTCTGATAGAGTGGGTGCGAGCCAACGAGTCGCCACTGCCCTAAGCCCTATCCTAATTTAACTCTCGGTTAGACAATGTTTCCACGACACATCGTTAGCAGCTTTTGAGATACCGGTGACAATCTATCTGCGCAAACAGACAATGGAAATGAGTGGCATGACACTGCTAAAGTGTCTGTCTGCCAGTATTTGTTACAGAATGTGTGCATTCTTCGAACTCATAACTCACAGCTCGCACATTTGGATGAGGGGCGAGATGTCTTGCAGAATGAGACGGGTGTTACTTTAATGAAAGGAACTTTCGGACTGTCACAAACCCCGTTATTGTTTGTCAGCTAATTACGGTAGATTTATGTCTATGTGGGGCACACTTTGTGTTAAATTGTTGATTCTTTGTGTATTCACGTGTATCTTAAAACGGTTTATGACTTAAGCTTTATTGAGTTTTTTAATGTGCGCGACTGGGACATTTCTTTTTAAGTGACAAGGACCAAAACTGAAGTGAATTCTTATGATTTCGGTTTCATTCCTATTATGTGCAAAGATACCAAACACTTCACTTACTGGATTCTCTGGGCTCGAACTGCGATATTTTGTCACTAACTTGAAGAAAGTTCACGTAAAATTGATTACAGTGTAGTCAGATAAGAGATAGACCGGATATAAACAAAAGGTTCGGGTGATTTTCACGCTAACGCCGCCGTCTCGACGTAAAACAGGAGCCCTCATTGGTCAATTCGCAATTAAATGCCTATGAGCAGTCGTATCAAGGCAGAGTCACATTCAGGTTCAGACGTGTTACGTATGTCGTGTGCATCATTGCAATTTGATATTTCTTTGGACGTTTTCGTTTGTTATCTTATAAAGTTGTTGAGTTTGTCGTTGTTATTGTTATACCTTGTTATTGATTGTTATTGTTATCAACTGCTTGCGCAAAATGCCCAGTAGTACAGATACTGCCGATGAAGTTGTAAACTCCTGTAGTCCACCTAGGAAACGCTCTAAAAAAAGACACCTGAGTGCAGAAATGAAAGAGGTCATTTTGAATATATATATAAGATCGAGCGCGAGGAGAACGAGGCATCAACCATCAAAGAAATTGTTGTGAAGGTTTCTCACAAAGTTGGGGTGTGTCGCGCATCAATGTTTAATGTGTTAAGACAATACAAAAAAAATCACACCCTTTCTGAGCCAATGACCAGTAAACATCGCAAAAGTATTGTTAAATCATTGGATGAAGCTGATAAGCATGCGATTAGGAGGAAAGTGCATGAATTCTTCTTTAGGAATGAAATACCTACTATAGATAAAGTACTGCATGAGGTAAATGGAGATACAACGTTGCCAAATTTCAAACGATCAACTTTCCATGCGTTACTGAAGCATTTAAATTTCAAATGGAAAAAACGGGGTCATAATAGTTTACTACTGGATAGAGAAGAAATTGTGCTATGGAGGAGGGATTATTTAACAAAAATTGGGAAATATAGAAATCAAAACAGGAAGATTTATTACCTTGATGAAACGTGGGTAAACGCAGGACACACTACAAGTAAAGTATGGGTTGATGATTCTGTAACTTCATCCAGGAGGGCCTTTCTAGATGGACTGTCCACCGGATTAAAAAATCCAGCAGGTAAATACGAGTAATAGACTTATGTATATTTACATCATTATATATTTCTTACCCCACCCCCACATGATCCTATATTCATCACCAATCGTATACACATCGAATTGTGCTAATTTACTACAAAGTTACGCAAAGCAGCATCTACTATCTAAAATATGTACTGCGTGACTCTTAATACGTCCCTGCCGAATGTTACAGCGTTCGATGATCACGTGGTCTTGTTTATGTCCGGTCTATCTCTTATCTGAATATACTGTATATACAACTATGGCTGAAACAATTCGGGCCACATCTGACCTATCTAACCAAATCTATTTGGTCTATATTGTTAGTTAGTTTAGACAATTTATGACAAATCTCACTCAACTTATTTATGCTAGCAAAGGTAAACACAAATAATAACTATTATATTATAGTCGAGATCGCGAAAGATGACGAGTACCTCATCATTTTAGTCTGTAGTAAAGACAAACGACAGCGATTTGTGAATATTTTTAATGAAGTTTCAGATATGTTAGACAGAGACAAACAAAATTTTATTGACTAAACAAACTGTATTGCTAATTAGCATGTATCCGACAAAGATAGACAATGTTTTCATGTTGCATGATCGATCATATTTGAAAGATGAATAGTTAGGTTATGTTAAAGCAGGTGAAGTTGTTCTCTAATACTTTGGTCTTTGGTGTTCCTGTCAAGGTATTCTACTCATAACTGTTTTTTTTTTCAAAACAGAAACTCCCCACTAAAATTATTATTAAGGCATCACTCAAAACCATGAAATAAATGAAAATAAAAATAATCAGTGAAATAACCTAACAAACCTAACCTAACAAAATTATATTATAAATTTGTTGTCATTATGTTCCTGTCATCGTGAGTTTATTATCGACGTACGTGCATCGATTACTTCAGTACAATTTATGGTATGACGTAATAGTCATCTTTCGTGATTTTGACTATATATTCGGTAAGCTACTAGACGTAAAACAAATGCTAGTGTTTCCAAAGTCAAATCTACTGATGTGATCTACTGATTTTATAAGCAATTAAATCTCGGAAAATGATTACAACTTTCGCAGCATGTGTTGATCAAGGAGGTTAATAATCTAAAGTCCCTATCAACATCCTAAAAGCCAAAGTAAAATCATAAATGAAATACTTCAAGCATATAAAATGTGACACAAACCTTACCAGCCACGGCGCGTGACTTTCTTTTTCATTTGTTGTAATTTATATTTTAGAGAAGGTATATGGTGATTACATTTGTATTTTATGAGAATAGTTTTGTTAAAAGTTTATACCAACAAGACCATAGACACTCATTGTAAAAGAAAGGGACTCGACACCTGTCTTATGGAAAAAGTGTTCCAAGTTCTGCATTCCAGGTGATGTTGGTTAAATGTTCGCACACCAACTCGACTCGAGGATCCAGATGGGTTAGAAGTTTTCAGCTAAGTCCATAGCTTAGTGATGATGATTCGATAAAGGAATATCCATCTAGAGAAGGATAACTGTTTTCTATTTAATTTAAAACTTGCTTGAATGAATATTTTAAAATATACTCCGGGGATCGCCTTAATATTTGGCAACTGCCACTAGCTTACCAATATTTTGTTTTATCAATTTGTAGCTGTATCACACTGTATCAAAGAAACCTTCAGTACAGTTGCAACGATAGTTGCAGCTTACCACTTTGGTCACTAAACGCTCCTTCAACTACACTCCGCAGAAACGTTTTCATCTAACTTTTATTGGCCTCTTTCCACTTGCGGTTTTCTTAACTCCGTCCGGCAATTTTTAAATTATTAGAGTGGGGAAAACTCCAGCGAAATAGGGAACGAACTAGTTGGGAGTGTCTGGGAATGGCCATGCTGTGGTCTACATGTTAGTGGTGAAGTTTACGTCTTCAAGTCTAGCCTAGCTTTATTCATAATGTATGACAAGACATTTTTTAAGGCCGAAGCCGAAGCGGAACCCATTGTTTTTATTACAAAATGTGTTGTGTTGTCTATATATAAATGTGAATGTTTGTCGAGTCTGTCAGCATAATATTTGTACCACAATACGAAAAGTCGAAACATTTGTCTCGTCTCGTCGTTTGTTATTTGATAAGTCCGCAGGACCTTGGCTCTTGTCTGGCAGAATGATGTCTTGTTTCTTCAAAATCTTCCTGAGCCCAGCCAGGTGAGATTTTTTATTAAGTACAAGATAGTGAAAGACGAAAGAAGGGAAGAAAATGAGAAATGGGAGAAAAAAGAGGAATAGAATCAACTAATGAAAACGAAATTTATCTAATTTGTATCCCGAAAGGTGCTTAATTTGGTTAGTGTACTGCCAAAAGATTTATAATTCAGAAAGCCAGGGTCTGTTTAGGAACTTGAGCCGGAATATAGATTATTCATTATTGTTTATTTTCTGCCCTGCTACTGGCTGCGAGGCTTGAGTTGCGTGCAGAAGAAGAGCTATAATCTGTTCAAGTGATTTCAGAACAGTTCCTAAATCATTAACTGAGGCGGACTGTGAAGTGTTCGAATTTGTGTTGCTGGAAAAGGCAACAGCAGCATAAGTTGTGTTCGAACTTGAGAAGTGGTTCTCTGCTGTCGCGATGGTCAAGGTTCATTGTTGTTCCTGGAGACAAATTTACAGCCTAAGCTATTTGCTGGATGATTTTGGCTACATTTTGCACAGGTTCTGGCATCGTGATCTGTAAGTGGACACAGTTGTGTGACGTGCTCTTGGGCGTACTCCACGCACCTGGGAGGAGCCGTACAATATGGCTGAGAGTGACCATATCTCTGACCGTGATGGTACTGACCGATTTGTCCAGAAGTTCGTTGCACCTCCACAGAGATAGCCAAACCCATTAGTTCAAGCTCATTGAAAATGTCATGAGATTTTGCTACCTTCGGCAGTAAAACAACTATAAGAGACATGGGTCTCCCGATATTATTTTCTAAGCGAATTATATGAAGAGGGTTATATCCACTTGTTATCAGCTCTTCCTCCGCAGTAGTTGATATTCCCCTGAGGACCGCGTGAACGTTTCTCCAGGTAGGGGAAAAGTATGTTGTGCTCTTTCTTCTTCTTTTAGAAAGCGTATAAGCCTTCTATAATCATCCTGTTTTAGGGGCAATTATTATGCCGGTATCGATAGCCACAACTTTTTCAATTTTTAAACAAAGAAAAACACATGATTGAGATAAAAACTTCCATCTTCCTGGTTCGCGCAGTATTGTCGATGTAACACGCTTTGATGAAGGTACTCGTAGTTTAGAAGTGGTGGTACTCAAACCTGGAAGGCTTCTTTCTGAATTTGTATTTTGACTAGAGTCAGTAGCCGAGGCTAGAGTTTGAGTGGTAAAAAATGTTGTTGAAGGTAAACGTGATGAAGCTGGCTGGGCTTACTTGGAAGTCATGGTAAATCGCTGGAGCTCTTCTTGGATCTGCGTTTTTTCGATACTTTAAAGGTATCTTCTTGCATGTTTGCTATGTCCATTTCGTTAACTGTGGAACTTTCGCTGTCGCTGTCATATTCACGTTTCTTTGGCGATTCACTCTTCTTCAGTAATTTATTAATTTGACTCTGCAACTCTTCTATTTGCAAGTGACATCTTTTCAATAAGCTTCGTCTGCACTGCTGTCGTTTCCTGCTGGTTTTTCTGTTCTCCAATAGTTGACATCCTTGTCGGGTAGACTATCTCGGCCTGGCGGGGCAGCTTGACTCTCGCCAATATTGGGGCACCTTGGAGATGCATCCTGCTGACCTCCAGGATCTGTTTCCATCTTATTATACGTCTTTTTTCTGGATTTTCGCGAATTAATTCCCAGAGAAAAAAATTCTGTCAACTTGACGGCATGGGTATCATGTAGAAAATCTATAAAGCGTCAAACAAACCTATAAGATGTCATCTTGCAAACTAGGTAGTTTTTAGGGCGCAAATATTCATTCCCCGTTTACTCACTAGGATCGTTGTGAACGTCCATTTAAGGAGGAATTACTCAACTAAACTACACGCATGCTTTGTGAGGCCAAATAGTCCTTGTCTGTAGTTTTTATCTTTGAGAAGTTGTTTGAATAGCAAGATCGCATCTGGATGATTATGTGTATTGGTCTGCATGTGTATAAAATCAGTGATATTTGCTGTGTGAGAAAAGCATTACTGAATATGCTGCCAATGAAGCATATCTATAGGTTGAGCCCGATGGGATATTTTTATGTTGTGCTTTCTGAAGAGAGGTTATGTTCAAAGTTATAAATTACGAAAAACTAAGGAGAATTACGGGAAATCATCACCGCGTCCCCGTTGTGTGTAATTACTGTTAGCATGTATATGAGTTATAATTCAACAGTGTTCAGTGAATATAATTATTGCTTATCTCTCTCATTTTTGAAATTCAGCAAATTTGTATATGTAATTTCCAGAATGGATAAGAAAAAGTAGATGCGCAATCAGGCTATCATAGGTATGAAGACTAGAGATAGGAGAATAAATTACGCAAGGAATACATGTATTCGTATGAGGCAAATGCTGTCTCAATTCTGTTGCCAAGAATGGTGTGATCTAGTGGGCGCGGAACATGGCGTAGAGTGTCTGCATATTCAAAATGTCAATTTAACCTGCCACAATCATTATGTTCATGTTTTGCCATACCTTTTAGGTTTATTGCTTCGTGGTTGATTAATTTTAACCAAAATTTCTGCTTGCAACTGATTCGAACTGACAAAATTGGAGTTGGTTACAATTATGATGACAGTAACAGAGAGAGTGTCAAATGCGTAGAACCTAAAATTCATTTTCTGCGCAGTGTACTTATGAGTGAGATGCCCTTTGCGCAGAACCTGAAATTCATTTGCTGCGACTTACTTCATAGTCGATATTTTTGGCTTCACCCCTATCTCTAGTCTTCATGGCTATAGGCATAAATTTATCTGTGAAACTAGACAGGGTGTTCCCGAAGTATGGATAGATCAAGCTGTTTCGAAAAATACCTTTCCTAGAAAAAAATGTTATAGAACAAATTTTGTAATATTTGAAAAGTGATGATCTTGAACGGGACCTTGCGGACAATTTTAGGTTTGAGTATATACTGGCCAATCAACATGATCATGACCTTCAAGGTCATTTGAGGAACAAATAAATTTTCAAGTGAACCACTTACTTTTGGTCGAGGATATAAAAAAGCGAATCATTGGAATTAATTTATTGTTATTTTATTTTAAAATGTTCGATACAAAACGTCCACTGCAAAAGTAATTATTGTATTAAGTTGGATATTGCATTTCTTTTTCCGAAACCAATCTTCTTGAATGACCTATACTTTAGACTACCTCTACGCGGGCGGACCCGCGAGTAGGGTAGTAAGAACGAATACATTTACTACGCTCCTGATGCTTGCCAACAAATGCTCTCCGCGCACAACGTGTATCAATTAGCAAAATCCTTCCGCTCAGTGAATAGCGTTCAGCAAATATTTTCATATCAGCTTCGTCAGCCAACAGTTGGAGTTAGGAAGGAGTTTTTCAACGCTCCTTGTGTCTATATGAACAGCTTTGCAATGAACTACTTCCACGAACAATGAAAAAATGCGGCGTGTAGGTTCAGTTTCATCTACATTGCTGCTCTAAGCAAATGAGGAGTGTCCATTTTAAGTAAAAAGAACAATATAACTGGGAAAAGAGCAACTGCATCCAAATGATTTTCATATAATTTGAGATTTATCTAGTTATACTCGAGTAGCTACGAAGGCAGATCCTAATCACCGAGATACTTCAACAGATAAGAGTTAAGCATTAAATGAATAAAAATATCAGAGACTGTCAAATATAGCCATCCAAGAAAATTAATTATACGACCGGCGTTGTCCGCTTACGAGATGAACCAATCTGGTTCACTGTAAATGCTTTTTCAGGATTGTCAGGTTGGAAAGAACTGCGCAAGATGCTTTCTATTTGTGACCTTTTCTTATTATCCGGGTATCTTAGAAGGAGGATATGTGGATAAGAATAATCCTGTTTCAGGGACTACAATCCAAATAGCTTGGTGGATATGAAAATATAAGGTGTTGTTAGATTCGTCTTAGCAGCACGAGTGACATTGATTATCTTAAGACTTCATAAAATCAAAATCGCATTTTATTCCAAAATTTCAACTTTGAAACTCCCATTTTACGGCCTAGAGCTCTAACAACCTGTCGGCATTTGACATATGAGATGTTCCAAGGGTCGAATCGTCTGTCGTTCCTACAATTGTAGGACGCCTTTATGACCTCCTTGATTTTCATAGTTCTCTACTGTTCCACGTCCGCGTTATACTTTGAGGTTATGTTACAGATATCTATTTGCATCACATTGTGACATGCTTTTGATATATATTATCTGTCATATAGCCTAAAATTTCCTGCAATTCAAAAAGAAAGCAATTGGAGCGCGGTGACGCTGACACGGAAACAGAAGAAATCTAGGAATATCCTAGCATTTCTGGAGGAGAGAAAATACAACTTACAATCAAAGAGGCCATAAAGGCGTCTTACAATTATTGTACGAACGACTGATGACACAGCTCGTAGATTCGTGTTGTTATCAATACCAAAACTCCATTTTTTCAGTTACTGCGATCGGGTCCTACATATATGTATAAATGTACTTTATAACCCTTACAATTATTTAACAGTTCCATTTGTTTTTTGAGGTCAGGTCAGATAGGAAGTCATGTTTTCTCTAGCTCAGGTCTGGCCGTCTGTTGACTGAATGCCTTTGTAATATCAAGACCAATTGTAAATGTTCTCATAAACACCAATAAGCTACGTAGCCCTGCTTGAACATTTCCAACAAGAAGACTAACCCCATTTTTACATAAATGTTCAGTGTACTAAATTGTTTTCCCAGTTTGCGTGCACGCATTTCCTATAAACCATGATGGCATTTAAGATCAAAGAATATAAATAGGAGGCAGATTGTAATCCCACAGATACAGAAGGTCAAAGAGCTTATTTATCTGAAAAGGGTCCCAATAGGAACTCAAGCAAATAGTTACATAATATTTTATCTGTTGAATAATAAGCGTCACATAAATATATAGTTGCAGTACGTACGTGAACTAGTCTGTAAAGCTCTAAAACAAAATGTAAAAGAAAATTTGGCAGGCGGACTAGTGATATTGCAGGATTTGCCTGATTTTGAAATTTTTAAGCTCTACACCACGTCATAAAAAGCTTTTGCAACCTCTAACGACTACACTCAGAAGCTAACCGGATTAAGAAAACCATACAAAAACCAACATTTAAGACATTCTTTAGTATTCAACCATAACTTTATTTTTACTGGACCTACTTGCAAAACCTACAAATTTCTCTCATTTTTTGCCAATTGCTTCGTTCCAAGTTAGAAAGAGTAATATGTCCTAGATGATGACCACAGAGGTAATTTGTAGCTGAGTTTTAGTGAATTTAAGTAGCTACTACTATTGTTGACACTTGATTCGTATAAAACTAGAGAATCTCCTTTAGTGTGTATTTTCATACTTACATCAAATCAAATGGTCACAAGCGGTTCAATCAGTACGACCTATTGCAATGTCTGAAAACTACACAAATCCTCATTATTTGAATCAAAAACTTGTCCTCTGAGACCACAAGTACCTAATTTAATCAGATGACCCACTGTAATGCCTGAAAACAACACGAACACCCCTAAATATTATTTGGATCTACAAACTTGACCTCTGAGGTCACTATCTAGTCATATCTGGGATCAAAGTAAAAGCGTGGTCGCCGAGTGTTCGGTATGTTTAGATGTTTAATGGACACTGCATAAATATACTTTAACAAGAACGCTTCTGCAAAGATTATCTTCTGCTAGTGATAAACAAGGATATTCATATTTTTTTATTTATGTAGGTTCCCCATCTAGATAAGATTTTTTATCAAATATGAACTGTCAAAAGCTTATCATACACATATACTCGTAACTGACGGAGTTCATTTTTTCATTTCCTCTGCCAGCTATTTCCGTATTTTTCATACTGTGATCAGAGGATGATGGAAATGCACATAATACAGTCAGAATTTTTCATATTTTCATTTGAAAGGACTCAGCAGATGCCTTCACTGCTCCAGCGTGTCTACTCTCTCCAACTTTGTAACCATAATCATAACATAACCATAAGGGCTGAAATGTATGTCTTAAGAATGCGTTTCTATAACTTGCCAGAATCATTGTGATAAGCATAAGCCCCTGCAATAAGCATAAAAAGGTAGACATTGAGTATGATAATGCCTAAAGTTGAATATTTTTTTTTCTTCTTCAAGAATAATTTTACGCATAAGCAGTATGGACGTCGCTCCTGTTTATGATGAGATATTGCTCAGCTATGACAGATGTGATCGGTGTTAGGTGATCAGTTGTTTGCTCAAAAAAATCCAGATTGTCTACCAATTTCTTTTCTGATGCGGTATGATGGGCAACTACCTTAAGTTCTTGATATTTCTAACACCACTTGACTTTTTCATGCTGCGAATCCTTGTCTCTCATCGAAACCCTATTCTTATCCAATTTCATTAGGCGGACTGAGAGCTCCGTAAGGATGGATGGGACAAAGTGGGACAACTAAAACTTGGAATCACGGAGCTACTTGAATATCCTCCTTAGCAGAGACTTGCACTCAAGAGAAGAGAGGATACTGGAGACTAGAGTGAGATTACGATTGTTAATCTAAGACTCTCATCCGGTATTAGAATTAACTAACAAGGTATTGTTAGCTCGAGACCGTGCTTTAGAATGCTTACCTAAGCCGAACAAATGCAAACAGATACCGAATGTCTATCAGTCACAGTGAAATATACTCTACGTAGGAAGCAGCTTCCTCCGCATACCGAGGGGTAATGAGAGCAAATTGGAGTGATACAGCGTAAAGCGCCATCTATCACACCAGAATCGACCATTGTGCTAAGCGCATAGCTTCTATTAGTTGGAACTGTTCACGTTTAATAGCCCAGTCACCACGTGACCGATAGATGGCTATCGATTCTGGCTGTAAATTAGATATGGTCTACCTGGCTTTCCGCAATGGTAGATTCCGCTGTAATAGATGGCGCTTCGCACTGCCTCATTTCGATAGACTGTACACCCGGTAGAGAGGATAGTTGCGATGCTTTCGTTCGTTTGTCCAGAGACAAGAGACCAAGTCTAGACCATGCTGATGCGCCAAGAAGCACGAAACAGCTGTCCATGGTTGGTTGCCTTTTTGGTCGGACGGAGGAAAGCGTTATATTTAGTTTGGGAGCAAATAGTTTTGATCCAAGAAATCGTAGTCAATAGTCAGGATGCAAGCGTATACGGCAAGTTAGGCTGTCGTCAGCAGTTTGACAATTGTTAACACATTTTCAAAGAAACGTATAAAAGTGCGTGGTTTTCCGTACAGTTCTAGTTATTGTAACATTTGAACCTTATCCTTTGGTTTACATGTCGATATTCCCCTATGCTTGTCTGGCCAATAAAACCATATGTGTTGACAGATCTTCTATACGTTTCAATAACAATAATATTGTTGTAGTGCTGAAGAACATCACCTTTGTGATTGAAATGTTTATTACAGTGAAGAAGATGTCAATACATGTGGTTTTATTGAGCTTGCAAGCATGAGGGATTATCTACAGTTCTAGTGTTCCAGACAATTGTCAATCATGACGTATATTTTTGTGGACTATAAAAGGCAGTTTAAGCTGAATAAACGCGTTATTTTTATCGCTAAGTATTGATATAGAAGAAACATTGGCGTTGCGAAAGTACACGAACCTGAACGTTAAGATATCAGGACATTTGTGAGATACGAGTAGTCTTTTTTACAAGCTTCTATTTAGCTTAATCTGTTAATCTGTATGTTAGTATGTATGTACAGGTATGTTATTTGTGAGACAAATCTTGGAACTGAATTTTGAACCAGTTAACCTCAACCAAATTAGCTGAAATTTTGTACACACGTTTGAATACAAAATGGCGTATGGTACAAAAAGGCGATTCATCATTTCCATCTCTATGATATGGATATCAAACGAGAAAGCTTGATGGGAGCAACACAATAAGCAAACTGACGTCATTCTAAATCCGATATGGCTGCTACCACAAAAAGGCGATTTACATATCTCATAGTTACTCTTACGATATGGGCATCAAATGAAAGGATCTAATGGAAGAAACATAACAAGTAGAGTGACGTCATTCAAAATCCAATATGGCGGTCGCCGCAAAATGGCGATTTACATATTTTATAGTTACCCCTACGACATGGGTATCAAATGAAAGGACCTGATGAGAGAAACACAATAAACAAAGTGAAGTCATTTCAAATCCAATATAGCGACAGTATCAAGGTGTCGTTTATAATTATCATAGTTACCTCTATGATATAGGTATCATATTGAAGGGCTACATGAGAGAAATATAAAAAGGAACATGATATTCTGGATCCAGTATGGCAGCCACCGCATAATAAGGAAAATGACGTCATTTTAGACCAAATGTGATGCCCGTTACTAAGTGGCGATTTATAATTATATGGTCACCGCTGTAATGTAGCCATCAAATAAAAGGGCTTAATGAGAGGAAAACGATAAGCCAAAGACTCTAAATTCGATATGGTGATCGCTGTAGAATTGATAAAACATTTTTTAAAAAACAAATTTTTATTTAGCTGTAAAAATAATTAACTAAAAATTCAAAAATGACTTATCCGAGTTCTCAGCCATTGACGCTCGGGTGGTGTCTTTATTGAAATTACATTGTTATCATATTTTTGATGATAAAAATACGGACACCAATAAACCAATAATGAGAAGCGCTTGCTTCATGATAATGTCCATCCTAGACTTCAAGATTATTGGTCTACATAGACTTTAATCATTTATTGGCCAGTGTTTTGGAGATGGATAAGTTACTACAACATAAAGCAACGTTCACACTTGTGTGCTTTCCCTTTCACCTTCAAAATGAACATGACGTTGATTTGACCTTGTAGATGCCTATGACCAAAGACAAAGGAACAACTACGATCTTTGCAAGACCTATCTGTCCTATTGAGTTTTCTGAATTTTCGGACAGCTCATGCCAGATGTATTCCAGCTCGAGCTCAAATTCACCTTGTAAGGATTATGGTCAAGATCAACATGACACCTCCCAACACCTTTCTACAAGGTGTTTAAATGAAATCTTTTTTTCAGTACACCAGTTCTTCGGGTTTTTGGTATGACAACTACAATATACGCATCCACCATTTTTGCATACTCCCCATTTCCCGGAAACTGATCATAGGATTGTTTTGGCCCAATGAAAACTTTTATTTAGGAGAGCGAGAAATATATCACACTGAATTTTTAAGCAAATCCACTGGGACCCATCTTCCATCAGTTTTGTGAGAGGACCTTTTGCAAATCCCAGTAGTACTTCTTCGTCTATTGGTGGTGAAGTAAATTTGTTGCCCTCGGTATCATATGACTAGGAATACTATACCTATCTATTTGACTTTATTGCCTTTTAATAGAGAGTAGAAATGGAAAATAGCTCTTAGTCGCCAACGATTTGGGTTCTTTGTAAAGAAAGAAACGTGCTGGGCTATTGGGTTGGAACGCAAACTAGAACGAACGGTATTACTCACTGGCTCATCTAAAATTAAAATTCGCTCCTTTATTTCCCGCGAATCAACTGACAAGGATGGAAATGCCTCATGATCGCAGATAAGGGCGGATCATCACTTTTTCTGAAAAAAATATCGGTTGTATGAAACAGGGATCAAGATACAGGAAATAGATAAGTATCTCCAGCAATGATAAGTATCGAGCACTTTGGTCAACACTTGACAAAAATTGTACGTTTGGACATTCTTGTCGCCTCACATTTGAATTGCCGAAGTTGTGTTTATAGCGTATCTGAAATTGCATCGGTTACGAACATACTGATATATCGTGGTGAATAACTTCCGAAAGCTCCTTCGTAAAGTAACCCAGATGCACAAAAAGTAAAAATAATGTTTTTTTAAAGGGTATTACAAAATGATAATATTAAAATAATGGATGACCAATGGCATATATTTAAAGAAATCTCTGAATAAATGGTGTCTTTTTACAGTTTCCAAGTAGAGGCTTATCCCCATTTGATGAGGAAGACATTTGAGTCCATGGACTCACATCTCCATCCCGAAATGTCACTACGAGCTTTCTTTAGGGATTGGTTTTGATTATAACATTGTTTTTGCTGTTTCTACATGCGCAAAACTGTAAAGACACCTGTAGTGACGTTACCACCGAGAGTACAAGGCCAAACAACTGGGCTCTGAAAAGCCTGTGACGTCACGCAGAGTAGGCCTATGCATGTTCTTATGGAGTTTCGCCATGACTGGCTGGCAAGAGAACCGCGCCACCATTTCTCTGGGGTGTTGTCATATCTAGGTTTGATATAGCAGTATCGAAATCTCTATTAATTAGTTGTACCTCTCTGTGGGCGAATTTTCAAGATGTACTCGGGGACTGCGCAGCTTCAGTGATGATGTGATTATTCTTTCTGATCTGCCTCAGTATGTCAAGAATACATTTTCGATATTACGTTCAATCTGTCACTTGTGAAGTCTAATAATCAACTAACCTCACATTCTGAGCCTCATCTTTCAATGCTATGTAAACTGAAAATTATTGATGATTTAAACTTATATTTGTGTCTCGCGATTGTTTAGCTAAGTTTTCAAAATGCCTTACAAGTGCTGCGTTCCTAATTGTGTCGATAATTACGGGAAGGGTCCGAAAGTACACGTATTTTCGTTTCCATTGAACGAAAACTGTCGTAAAAGATGACTCAATGCAATCCCTCGTAGTGATTTAGTGGTTACAAAATACATCCGAGTATGTAATTTGCACTTTGCTGAGGACAGCATCATTTGGGAATCCACCTTCCTTGTCGAAAAGACAGGTAGGACCATTACTGTACCCCTTAAGTATCCAAAATTAAAGGCAGATGTAATTCCAAGTATCTTTGCAAATTGTCCAAAATGCCTTTCAAAGGACATATCAAGCAGAAGAAGCCGAGATGAGAAATGGAGGGACAAGGAACAAGAACAACTACTTAAAGCACTGCAAACTAGCATTGATGATTATTCCTCCTATCAAAAATCAACTTGTTTTCAAAATTATTCAGACTTTCTCACAGTTTTCAATTCATGGCAATGTCCATATGGGTGGCATAAAATTGTT